TTGTCTAGCAGTCTTTCTATTTTGTTAATCTTTTCAAAAAACCACCTCCTGGGTTCATTGATCTTTTGAAGGGTTTTTTGTGTCTCTATCTCCTTCAGTTCTGCTCTGATATTATTTATTTCTTTTCTTCTGCTAGCTTTTGAATTTGTTTGCTCTTGTTTCTCTAGTTCTTTTAATTGTGATGTTAAGGTGTTGATTTTAGATCTTTCCCACTTTCTCTGTGGGCATTTAGTGCTATAAATTTCCCTCTAAACACTGCTTTAGCTGTGCCCCAGAGATTCTGTTACATTGTGTCTTTGTTCTCACTGGTTTCAAAGGACTTATTTATTTCTATCTTAATTTCAGTATTTACCCAGTAGTCACTCGGAAGCAGGTTGTTCAGTTTCCATGTTATTGTGTGGTTTTGAGTGTGTTTCTTAATTCTGAGTTCTAATTTGATTGCACTGTGCTCTGAGAGACTATTAGTTATAATTCGTGTTCTTTTGCATTTGCTGAGGAGTGTTTTACTTCCAATTATATGGTCAATTTTAGAATAAGTATGATGGGGTGGTGAGAAGAATGTATATTCTGTTGATTTGGGGTGGAGAGTTCTGTGGATGTCTATTAGGTCCACTTGGTCCAGAGCTGAATTCAAGTCCTGAATATCCTTGTTAATTTTCTGCATCACTGATCTGTCTAATATTGACAGTGGAGTGTTAAAGTCTCCCACTATTCTTTTGTGGAAGTCTAAGTCTTTGTAGGTATCTAAGAACTTGCTTTATGAATCTGGGTGCTTCTATATTGGGTGCATATATATTTAGGATAGTTAGCTCTGTTGCATTGATCCCTTTACCATTATGTAATGCCCTTCTTTGTCTTTTTTTTACCTCTGTTGGTTTAAAGTCTGTTTTATCAGAGACTAGGATTGCAACCACTGCTTTTTTTTTTTTTTTTTTTTTTTTTTTTTTTTTTTTTTTTTTGGCTTTTTGCTTTCAATTTTCTTGGTAAATGTTCTTCCATCCCTTTATTTTGAGCCTATATGTGTCTTTGCACGTGGTACAGGTCTCTTGAATACAACACACCAATGAGTCTTGACTCTTTATCCAGGTTGCCAGTGTGTGTCTTTTAATTGGGGCATTTAGCTCATTTACATTTAAGGTTAATATTGTTATGTATGAATTTGATCCTGTCACTCTGATGCTAGCTGGCTATTTTGCCCATTAGTTGATGCAGTTTCTTCATATTGTCAATGGTCTTTACAATTTGTTATGTTTTTGCATTGGCTGGTAACTGTTTTTCCTTTCCATATTTAGTGCTTCCTTCAGGAGCTCCTGTAAGGCAGGCCTCATGGTTCAATGTTGAGGTTTAGCATCATAAATGTTCCTCTTAACACTGTGTTAGCTGTGTCCCAGAGATTTTGGTAGGTTTTATCTTTGTTCTCATTAGTTTCATGGATTTTTTCATTTTTGTCTTAATTTTATTTTTTACTCAAAAGTCACTTAGGAGCAGGCCATTTAATTTCTATGTAATTGTATGGTTTTGAGTGATTTTCTTCCTGTCAATTTCTATTTTTATTGCACTGTAATCTGAGAGTGTGGCTGGTATGATTTCCATTTGTTTTTGTTGTTTGTTTTGTTTTGCTGATAATTTTTTATGGCTTATATTATGGTCAATTTTAGAGTATGTGCTATCTGCAGGTAAGAAGAATATATTTTCTGCTTTCATTTGGTGGAGAGTTCTGAAGATGTCTATTAGAACCATTTAGACAAGTGTCAAGTTCGGTCCTGAATATCTTTGTTGTTTTTCTGCCTTGATCCAACACTGTGGGTGAGTTGTTGACGTCTCCTGCTATTCTGTGGTTGTCTAAGTCTCCTTGGAGGTCTCTAAGAACTTGCTTTAGGAATCTGGGTGCTCTTGTGTTGAGTGCAAATATATATAGCATGGTTAGGTTTTGTTTAATTGAATACTTTACCATTATGCAATGCCCTTCTTTGTCTTTTTTTATCATTGTTGGGTTAAAGTCTGATTTGTCTGAAATTAGGATAGCAGCCCCTGCTTTTTTTCTGTTTTCCATTTGGTTGGTAGATTTCTTTCCATCTGATTACTTTGAGACTACCAGTTTTATTGCATGTGAGATATTTATCCTGAAGACAGCATACAGTTGGGTCTTTCTTCTTTACCAAACTTGCCACTCTGTGCATTTCAATTGTGGCATTCAGCCCATCCCATTAAAGGTTAATATTGATATGTGCAAATTTAATTCTGTCTTTGTGTTGTTAATTGGTTATTATGTAGATTTGCTTGTGTGCTGGCTTAATAGTGTCTTCATACTTAAGTGTGTTTTTGTGATGGCTGGTAATAATCTTTACACTCTGTATTTAAAACTTCTTACAGGATGTCCTGTAAGGCAAGTCTGGTGGTAACGAATTTCCTTAACATTTGCTTTTCTGAATAAGATCTTATTTCTCTTTCACTTATGAAGTTTAGTTTGGCTGGATATGAAATTCTTCATTGGAATTTATTTTCTTTAATAATACTGAATAGAGGTCCCCAATCTCTTCTGACTTGTAAGGTTTTGGCTGAAATGTCCACTGTTAGCCTAATGGGATTCTCTTTATAGGTAATCTGCCCCTTCTCTCTAGCTGCCTTTAACATTTTCTTTCATTTCAACCTGGGAAAATCTGATGAGTATGTGTCTAGGGGATGGCCGTCTTGTGTAGCGTCTTTCAGGAAGTCTCTACATTTGCTGAATTTGAATGTTCTCTGGTGAGGTTGGGAAATTTTCATAGACTATGTCCTCAAACATGTTTTCCAAGTTGCTTGCTTTATCTCTTTCCTTTCAGGGACAACAACGAATTGCAGATTTGGACTCTTTACATAATCCCATATTTCTTGGAGGTTTTGTTCATATTTTTAAATTTTATTTTTATCTGACTGAGTTATTTCAGAGAACCAGTCTTAGAGCTCTGAGAGTCTTCTCTCAAGTTGGTTGATTCTGCTGTTAATACTTGAGATTATATGTAAAATTCCTGAAATGATATTCTCAGCTCTATCAGATTAAATTGGCTTTCTTGAAATAGTCATTCCGTCTTACATCACCTGTATGGTTTTATTGTATTCCTTAGAATCATTGGATTCGGTTTTTACTTTCTCCCAAATCTCAATGATCTTTCTTCCTATCCATATTATGAATTCTACATCAGTCATTTCAGCCATTTCAGCCTGGTGCCATTGCTAGGGAACTAGTGCAGTGTTTGGGAAGTAAGAAGACATTCTGGATTTTTGAATTTCCAGAGTTCTTGTGCTGGTTCTTTCTTATTTGTGGGGATGTTGTTCCTTTACTCTTTGAAGTTGAGGTTCATTGCATAGGATTTTTTGTCTTTATCTTTTTTGATGTGCTTGGAGGTTTAATTGGTTTAATCGACAGGCTTGTTCTGTCGATTGGTTTTGTTTCTGTAAGATTTCAGGTGGTCAAAGCTCACCTCAGCATTCCTAGGCTGCATATTCTAATTTAGGGGGTTGATAACAGGCCCCTGGCTTTGTTCTCTGGTTCTTTGGGGCTAGGAATCTGCTAGACTGAAGGGGCCAAGGTGTTTCCAGTCTGCTGGCCTCAATATTCTATTGGAGGTTGCCCGCCAGAGTGCTTCATCGGGACATGGCAGTGCGATCCGTGGTCACTAGCGCCGTGTCAGCAACTGCAGCAGTGGTGTGAGGCGCATGTGCGTTGGTTAGGGTGGGGCTCTGGGAGGAACTTTTGCCTTAGTTTTCATAGGCACTATAAGCAAGCAAATTATTTTGGCATTGTATTTTGGGCTGCAATCCAGCAGGTGGCGCTTAAGAGTGTTAGTCAGCAGAGAGGTTCTTAGTACACTGTATGGCTCTTTTGTGTTTTGGTGCAGTTGGCAGTAGTGGTACGTTGTGAGGAGGGAAAGAGATGACCCCCTCACCTGGTCTACTCCTGGGCCTTGGAGGTGCCCCCTCCGATTATAGGCACCGTGCTTGCTTTTCTTTTGTTGGGCATTCTGGTCTACAAGTCTCCTTCAGGCAGGGGCCACATTTGGCAGACAGGTCGTATCCTTGTCAGGTGGGCCCTGTAGAGGGAGGCACACCTCGCTCTTCCACCAGCCTAGGAACCCAGGTGTCACATTTCACGGTGATCTGAGAATGAGGGCTCCTACCTGCTTTGGCATTGCCCCCACCCTCAAGTCCTGCTGAGTTAGGAACTGCCTGGGTGGGTGGATTCACCTGTTCTGCTATCTAGATGCTTCCGTGGGCAGGCAGTGGAGGGTCCGAGGGGCGAAGGTGGTGTGCCTTCCTGCAGAGTTCAGGCAGAAGTGGAACCACTGAGCTAAAACCTTTAGCAGGTGTGGCCTGCCTGACTACAGATGTGGGGGTGGTTTGAGTCAAACCACCACCACTCCCCGCCCCCGCCCCCGCCATCCAGGTGTTTCCAGGGACAACAGGAGGCTTTGCCCACTGGTTGAGTTCAGACAGAGGCAAAACCACGGAGCTGGAACCTCTGGCAAGCGTTCACACCTTGACTACCAGTGACGTGGGTGCCCCCGCCCCCCGCCATCTGGGTGGGCACCCCATCCCTTGCCGTCTGGGTGCTTCTCGGGACAACAGGAGGTTGCATGTGCTGATTGAGTTCAGGCAGAAGTGAGATGGCTGGGGTGGAAGCTCTAGTAGGCATTGGCCACCTGGTTACCAGCAGTGGGAGTGGGTGGAGTCACCCTCCCTGTTGTCCAAGTACTTCCTGAACAACAGGAGGCTGAGCCCCCTGGCTGAGTTCAGGCAGGAGCTGAACCACTGGAGTAAAAGCTCCAGAAGTGGTGGAGGTGAGTGGGGTCATCAACCCTGCCCTTTGTTTCTTGGGACAGCAGGAGGCTGTGCCTGGCTGTCCTGTTGGGCTAGAAGCTCAATCAGGCAACAATGCCTAACAATGCCTAACAATGGTGGGGGTGGGTGGGGTTGCCTTCCCTGCCATCAGGGCATTCTGGGCAACAAGAGGCTGTGGGAGCAGCTGAGTTTGGATAGAAGTGGGAGGGCTTGGCCAGAAGCTCCACTGATCTTTGTCTGGCAAAGACAAGGCAGTTAGAGGAATCTTACTGCTCCCAGGCACTCTGACTGCAGCCTCTACTGGGGCTATGGTGCTGGTGAAGGTCTATTTCCAGGTTCAAGGATTGTAGAGGTTGAGAGTTTGGAGTTACCTCTGCAAAGTATCTGGGTGAGTCTCTGCCTCAGTTTAGAAGCACAGTCCCTGTGAAGAGCATGAATCCCTCTGAGGCTCTCAGTCACTCCCTCATGTTTTCCATGTGTGGTGCTTTTCCTGGATTCACATTGATTCCAGATTGGCTGCTGCCCAGATTTGCTCCTCTTTGCTCTCTATGTTCACTTGTTGCCGTGATCGTTTCCGATGTGGTTTCTTTGATTATCAGTGTATAGGGTCAGTGTTCAATAGCCCTTTTGATTTCTTTCCGTGAGAGCAGCACAGGTAATCTGTTTTCAGTCTGCCATCTTGACAACTCACCCCTATCTATGATTTGTTTCATTAGTGTTTTATAGTTCTTTTTGTTGAGATCTTTCACTTCCTCATTTAAGTATATTCCTAGGTATTTTATTTATTTTGTAACTGTTGAACTGTAAATGGGATTGAGTTCTTGATTTGATTCTCAGTTTGGTCATTGGTGTGTAGCAGTGCTACTGATTTGTGTACATTAATTTTGTAATCTGAGAGTTTACTGAATTCATTTATTAAATCTAGAAGTGTTTTACTACCTTGAATGGAAGCGGTGAAAGTGAACATCTTTGTCTTGTTCCAGTTCTGAGCGGAATGTTTTCTACTTTTCCTCATTCAGCATGATATTGGCTGTGGGTTTATCATATATGGCTCTTATTATTTTGGGATATATTCCTTTTATCCTTAGTTTATTCAGGGCTTTTATTACAAAGAGATGGTAGATTTTATCAAATGCTTTTTCTGCGTCTATTGAAATGATCATTTGGTTTTCATTTTTATTCTGTTTATGTGGTGAATCACATTTACTGCCTAGCTTATATTGAACCACCCCTGCATCTCTGAGAAGAAACCTACTTAATCATGGTGAATTATCTTTTTGATGTACTTTTGGATTCAGTTTGCTAATATTTTATTGAGGATTTTTACATCTGTGTTCACTGGGAATATTAATCTGTAGTTTTCTCCCTCTTTTTTTTTTTCTTTATGTCCTTTCCTGGCTTTAATATTATGATGATACTGTTTTTGTAGAATGAGGTAGGGAGGATTCCCTTCTTCTTAATTTTTTGGACTAGTTTTAATAAGGTTGGTACAAGTTCTTCTTTGGATGTCTGATATAATTCAGCTGTAAATCTGTCTGGTCATGGACTTTTGTTGTTGGAAGATATATTTTTATTATTACTGATTCAATCTCACTGCTAGTTATTGGCCACTTAAGGATTTCTATTTATTCCTAATTTATGCTTAGCAGGTTGTATGTTTCTAGCAATTTATTCATTTACTTTAGACTTTCTATTTTGTATGCGTAAAAGTATTCATAGTAACCTCAAATAATCTTTTATATTTCTGTGATATCAGTTGTAATGTCTCCATTTTCATTCTTGATTGAGCTTAACTGAATCTTTTCTTGATTAATCAAGCTAGTGGTTTATTAATTTTGTTTAACTTTTAAAGCACCATTTTGATCCTTTTTATTTGGGGGGTTCAATTTTATTTCTGTTCTGATATTTCTTACTTCTTTTCATCTTCTAGCTTTGGGTTTTTTTTTTTTTTTTTTTTTCTCATTTCTCTAGTTCCTTGAAGTGTGAAGTCAGGTTGTCAATTTGTGGTATTTGTGTCTTTTTGATGTAGGAATTTAGTGCTGGAAACTTTCATCTTAGTATTGTTTTTGCTGAATCCCAGAGATTTTAATAACTTGTGTCACTGTTATTATTCATTGTGAATTTTTTTTAAAAGTTTCATCTTGATTTCATTGTTGACACAAAGATTACTCAGGAGCACATTGTTTAATTTTCATTTATTCGTATGTTTTTTAGGTTTCCTCTTGGAATTAATTTCTAGTGTTATTTTGCTTGATTGTAGAATATACTTAATATGATTTTGATTATTTAAAACTTATAGAGACTTGTTTCTTTTGCCTGTCATATGATCTATCTTGGAAAATTTCTATGTCTTGTTGAGAAGACTCTATTCTGCAGTTTTGTCATAGAAAATTCTGTTTAACTGTCTGTTGGGTCCATTTATTCTAGAGTCTAGTGTTTTTTGTTGACTTTTGTCCTTAGTGATCTGTTTATTACTGTCCATATAGTGTTGAAGTCCCCCACTATTATTGTTTTGATGTTTATCTCTTTTCTTATATCTAGTATTAATTGTTTTATGAAACTGGGAGCTCTGGAGTTAATGAATACATATTTAGTATTGTTATATCTTCCGGTTAAATTGATTTTTAAATTATTATATAATAATAATTATCTTTGCCTTTTCTTTTACTATTGTTTCTTTAAAGTCATCTTTATCTGATGTAAGAATAGCTACTCCTATTCACATTTGGTTTCTATTTGTGTTAAGCATTTTTTTTCACCCCTTTACCTAGAGTTTATAAAAATGTTTATGACTTAGATGGGTGTATTGAAGACAGCAGATACTTGGTTTTGGTTTTTTAATTCATTCCGCTAATCCATGTCTTTTAAGTGGATAATTTAGACCATTTAGAGTCAACATTAATATTGTTATGTTAGGTAGAGTTACAATCATCCTGTTGATTGTTATTTAGTGGCTTTATTTTCTCAATGTGTTACTATTTTATAATTCCTGTGAGCTTTATGCTTTCAGGTGTTTTTATACTGGTGCATATTCACCTTTGGCTTTAATCTTTAGAACTCCATTTAGCACTTTTTGTAAGGTTGGACTAATGATGACAAATACTACCAGCATTTGCTTGTCCAAGAAGGCTTTATTTATCCTTCAATTATGAAATATAGTTTTGCTGGATATAAAATTATTGACTGACAGTTACTCTGCTTGAGGAGACTAAACATAGGTCCCCAAACATGTCTAGCTTGTGAAGTTTCTACAAAGAAGTCTGCTGTTATTCTGATAGAGCTGTAAGATACAATACAATTCCTCTTCAAAGGTTCAGCCAGTTAATTTCCTTGTTCTTTGTTCTCAAACCTAACTTTTTTGTTCTCCATACCTCCTTGCCCCTAGTTACTGTAAACAATCTTCCCGTCAGAACTAATCAATAACTCACATCTGTTCCCTTGGTTACTCACTCTGTACCCATTCCTCCCACCAAAACTTTACATCCCACCACTGTAACTCACCTTCCTCTTCCCCCTTCCTTATTTAGGAAAAAATACTTGCAAGTAGCCAATAGGGTCAGCTTAGATTGTGCAGTTTGACCCCAACCCCTGGGAGAGTGACACAGAGGTAGGGAACCACGCCTCAGAGATAAAAAGCCTTTCCCTCTTTTGTTCAGTGTGCTTTTTTTTTTTTTTTTTTTTTTCGAGACGGAGTCTCGCTCTGTCGCCCAGGCTGGAGTGCAGTGGCCGGATCTCAGCTCACTGCAAGCTCCGCCTCCCGGGTTTACGCCATTCTCCTGCCTCAGCCTCCCCAGTAGCTGGGACTACAGGCACCCACCACCTTGCCCGGCTAGTTTTTTGTATTTTTTAGTAGAGACGGGGTTTCACCGGGTTAGCCAGGATGGTCTCGATCTCCTGACCTTGTGATCCGCCCGTCTCGGCCTCCCAAAGTGCTGGGATTACAGGCTTGAGCCACCGCGCCCGGCCCAGTGTGCTTTTGCAATTATAATTGACATGGGTAGCATCCTTCTGCAAAAGTAAATTGCCTTGAGAAAATACTTTTCCCTGAGTGCTGGTTTTACTTTGTGACACCGAGCATTTACTTCTAACAGTTTCTTGGGGCTTGTCCAGTATTCCCATTCTCCCCTGGGGAAGGGGTCTACAGTCACCTCTCGTGACAAGGCACGTCCCACTGCCTCATTGTGGTGGCCTCAAGGTGAGGGATTGGGTCCCCCCACTAACTGGTGTGAAAAATAAACCCAGACTCTCAACAATTTGGGGAGGAAAAGGCTTGCAACACCATGGTGACCAGGTAACTCTGTGCACAGAACAAGGTAAGAAACGTTACAAGGGTAACAAAGTATTTCCTTGGTGGTCAGGATATTCTGGAGGTTGAAAGTGTGTGTGAATGATCACAAGCACTACTGCTTGTGGTTCTTGTGTGAATGGTTCTAAGCACTAATGCTCTGCAGAGTGAATGGGTCCTATCAGTAGTCCCGTGGTCACCTCATATGGCTTAGGGCGGATCCTGCCATGGGATTTATATAGGCATACCAATGCCAAGAGGCACTTAAATTCCCCTTGAGGAAGTGGCCAGAGTGGACAAAGCAAAAGAAATGTGCAAGGAGCCTCCAGCAGGTGGGGCTAAAGGATAGGCAAGAAATCTCTAATATGAGGAATTGAGCCTTAACAAGCCCCAAGGGAATAGGCAAGACATCTCTAATAGGAGGGATTGAGCAAGCCTTCAGAGATGAATAGGCAATTAATCTCTAGCATGAGGGATTTAGCCTAACTAGGACCCAATATGGGAAATACCCCTAAGCAAGATGGAATAAAAAGGATAAAGATAGTAATAAAGATATTTCCCCTGATAGTACCCTAGGCCTCATGTTCAAATATTGGAAAGATAATGAGAGAACTAAACATAAGAAAAAGCAACAGATGATAAAATATTACTGTTTTATTTGGATTCAGGGACTCATCCTCAAACCTTCAATCTTGTGGCCAAAGTTTGGGTCAAATGAGGATGTAATGTGCTAACTTCTAATTCAACGTGTAGATGATAAAAGTCCCGTTTCTCAAGAATAATTGGACTGTGCTCTTTGTTGGAGGCAGGGGCCTATCTTCCTTTTTCCCTTAAAGAAAATTAGGGAAAAATTAAATCAAGAACCCCAAAATTAAGAGTAAAAAAAGCCAATTCCTGTGCCTAAAGACTCCAGCACATGGGATCCCCCAGACCATCTCTATCTGCTCAGTGCTCCTAACCCTTCCCCTCAGGCAGCCGTTGCTGTCCCGGTTCAAACTTAAGATCCCGCCCCTGCTCACATTATTCCTCCTCTGTACAACCCAGATTGTTGAGAATCTTATACCATGAACCTATTTCTTCTTGGCCCAAGTACTCTTCCCCAAAAGACTCCAGCATGGGATAGAACAATGTAAAAATGATATTCAAAATTTCCCACTTCCCTCCACACCTAAGGAGTGAGCCTCAACTCTCTTCCCCTTAAAAGAGGTGCCAAAAAGAGGAGGAGCTATTGGCTTTGTGAATGCTCCCTTAACCAGGTCAAGTTTAAAAAAGGAACTTAAGCCATTGTTGGATGACACTTATGGAGTGGCAGATTAGGTTTATCAATTGTTGGAACCTCAGTTATACACTTGGGTCGAGTTAATGTTCATCCTAGACATCTTCTTTTCAGGGGAGGAAAGAAGTATGATCCGTAGGACTGCTATGGCACTTTGGGAATGTGAACACCCTCCCGGTAAAAACATTCCTACTGCAGAACAAAAGTTTCCCATACACGACCCCTGGTGGGACAATAATAATGCAGCTCGACAGGAAAATATGCAAGACCTAAGGGAAGTAATAGTGAAGAGAATTAGGGAATCAGTACCCCAAACCTAAAACCTCTCTAAAGCACTTGATATATAACAGGAAAAAGATAAAGGGCCTATGAAATTTCTAGACAGACTAACAGATCAAATGAAACAAAATGTAGACCTAAATTTGAAAGATCCCCTTGGACAGGGAATGTTAAAGCTCCACTTTGTAACTAAAAGTTGGCCAGATATTTCAAAAAAGTTACAAAAATTAGAAGATTGGGGAAACTGACTTCTAAGTGAACTTCTCAGAGAAGCTCAAAAAGTGTATGTGAGAAAAGACAAAGAGAAGCAGAAACAAAAGACAAAACTTATGGTATCCACTTTCCAACAGGTGATTCCAAACCCACATGCTTCTAAACAAAGCTTCCAGGGGGCCAGAAACTATAAAGGGTCCAGACTCCGATTTAAAGGCCCCAAGCCTCTGTCTAGAGGACCCAGGCCCTCTTCTACCAGACCCTCTACAGAAAATGGGGGGGAGGGCAAAATGGCAGAATCCCAGAACTGAGAGAGAAGAACAGGATAGGTGCTACAAATGTAGAAGGACAGGCCATTTCAAGAGAGCATATCCTGAATTAGAAAAGAAAAGGAAACCTTTCCACTCAGGACTTTTGGGGAAGAATAGGGGGGTCAGGGGCTCTGTTTCTTTTACCTTGAGTCCTACCAAGAGCCCTTGATAAATTTAGAGGTGGGACCCAAACATGAGCTTATCACCTTTTTAGTTGATTCAGGGGTGGCTCGCTCCTCTGTTTGTTTCCCTCCATCCAACATTGCCTGCTCTTCAGAAGAACTTTTAGTCTCTGGGTTAAAAGAACAAGGATTTAAAGCAAAAGTCATAGAAAGTACAGAAGTTAAATACCAAGATCGATTAACTCATATCCAGTTTTTGTTGATTCCTGAAACAGGAATTAATCTATTAGGAAGAGAGTTAAATGCCAAAGTTAGGTATAGGTCTACAAGTTAGCCCTAAATGATTCCTTACTTCATTAAACCTACTCACCACTGCAGATGAAAAATATATTAACCCCAATGTCTGGTCAAGGGAAGGAAACTGTGGGATACTCTGAATCCCTGCAATCCACATCAAGCTAAAATTCCCTGGGGAAGTGGTAAGGAAGAAACAATACCCAATTCCCTAGAGGAAAGAATAGGGTTAAGGGCCATAATTGCAAGGCTTATCAAAGATGAGCTCCTTGAACCCTATATGTCCCCTTATAACACTCCAATATTGCCAGTCAAGAAATCAGACCTGTCATACTGGTACAAGATCTTAGAGCCCTCAATCATATAGTCCAAACTAGAAATCCTGGTATCGCCAACCCATACACAATTCTCAGCAAAATTCCACATCAGCATCAGTGGTTTACAGTAATCGATTGAAAAGATGCTTTCTGGGCATGCCCCTTGGCTGAAGACAGTTAAGATATTTGCTTTCGAGTAGGAGGATCCCCATTCAGGGCATAAACAACAGTATTGATGGACAGTTTTACCTCAAGGGTTTACAGACTTCCCAAACCTTTTCAGTGAAATTTTAAAACAAGTGTTGAAAAAAGTGATTATCCCAAAGCAAATATGTCTGCTCCAGTATGTGGATGGTATTCCCATATCTGGTGAGGATGCAGAGAAAGCAGCTGGCTTCTCTACACATATTCTTAACTATCTGGAGTTCAAGGGGTTATGGGTTTCAAAGGGAAAGCTTCAGTATGTGGAGCTCAAAGTTAAATACTTAGGCCACTTAATAAGTGCAGGTAAGCGAAGAATAGGGCCTGAATGAGTTGAAGGCATCGTGTCCTCACTCTTGCCCCAAACTAAGCAAGAACTCAGAAAATTTTTAGGGTTAGTTGGGTACTGCCACTTATGGATTGACTCATCTGCACTAAACAGTAAACTTCTAAACCAAAAACTAGCCCAGGAACAACCTGACTATCCCCTGTGGATGTCTGAGGAAGTCGATCAGGTTGAAGAGCTAAAAGAAAGGCTCATAACCGTCTCTGCTCTAGCCTTACCTTCCCTAGAAAAACCATTCCACATTTTTGTTAAAGTAAATAATGGAGTAGCTTTGGGAGTGCTTACCCAAGAACACGGTGGCTGCTGGCAGCCTGTAGCTTTCCTATCAAGAGTTTTTGGCCCAGTCACATGTGGATGGGTTCAATGTATCCAGTCCATTGAGCTACAGAAATATTAATTGAAGAAAGTAGAAAATTAACTTTTTGGGGGAAATTGACTATAAACACACCCCACCAAATTAGAACAATTTTAAATAGAAAAGCAGAAAGGTGACTCACTGTCTCCAGAGTCTTAAAATATGAGGCCATTTTACTAGAAAAAGATGATTTTACTTTGACTACCGGTAATTCACTCAATCCAGCAGGTTTCTTGACAGGAGACCCAAATCTAAAAAGAGATTACTTATGTCTAGATTTAATTGACTACCAAACAAAGGTCAGGCCAGATCTAGGAGAAACTCCTTTCAAAACAAGGTGACACTTATTTATAGATGATTCCTCCCAAGTAAATAAAGGAGAAAGACATAATGGGTATTCAGTAATTGATGGAGAAACTATTGAAAAAATAGAATCAAAGAGGTTGCCCAACAGTTGATCTGCCCAATCTTGTGCATTATTTGCATTCAGCCAGGCTTTAAAATGCTTACAAAACAAGGAAGAAAGCATTTATACTGATTCTAAGTATGTTTTTCGAGTAGCACGTACATTTGGAAAAATTTGGGCTGAGTGAGGTCTTATTAATAGTAAAGGCCAAAATGTTGCTCATGAAGTGTTAATTGTCCATGTTTTAAACCACCTTCAGCTGTCAGAAGAAATGGCCATTGTACATGTCCCTGGACACCAGAAAGACTTTTCCTTTACAAGTTGAGGAAATAACCTTGCAGATAAAGTAGCCAAATGGGCTGCCATTTCATCTCAAACACCTATCTCTCACTTAACTCCTTGTCTTCCTTCCCTGGCTGCAACCCCTATCTTCTCTGCTGCAGAAAAGGAAAAATTAATAAGAATAGGAGCAAAAAAAAAAAAAAAAAAAATCAGAAGGAAAATGAGTGTTACCAGATCAAAGAGAAATGCTATCCAAACCCGTCATGAGAGAAATCTTGTCTCACCTGCATCAAGGGACACACTGGGGACCCCAAGCCATGTGTGATGCAATTCTCAGGGTTTGTGGGTATACAGGAATTTACACCCTAGCCAAACAAGTTACGGGCAGTTGCTTAATATGTAAGAAAACCAACAAACAAGTTATTAAAAAGTCACCCCTGGAGGGAGAGATCCAGGGCTAAGACCATTCAAAAGTATTCAAATTGGCTACACTGAAAGGCCCCCTAAAAGTTTGTCTAAAGTACTTATTAGTGATAGTAGATCACCTCACTCACTGGGTTGAAGCTATTCCCTTTTCAAATGCAACAGCCAATAATGTAGTTAAAGCATTAACTGAAAATATAGTACCCAGGTTTGGACTAATAGAAAATATTGACTCAGATAATAGAACCCATTTCACAGTGTATGTCATTAAAAAGCTACCCCAAGCGCTAGACATTAGATTAGAATATCATACTCCTTGGCACCCACCTTCATCAGGGAGAGTAGAAAGGATGAATCAAACCTTAAAAAACCGCATAACCAAATTAGTTCTAGAGACTTGGTTGTCGTGGACAAAATGTCTTCCTACTGCCTTCTTAAGAATCCAAACTGCCCCTCAGAAAGATATTGGCCTCTCTCCTCATGAGATGCTCTATGGATTGCCTTATTTATACTCCACTGCTGACATTTCTACATTTAAAATGAAAGATCAATTCCTCAGGAATTACATACTGGGTCTCTCCTCTACTTTCTCTTTTCTTAAAACCAAAGGTCTCCTAGTACAGCCGCCACCCATGGAATTTCCGGTGCATCAACATCAGCTTGGGGACCACATCCTTATCAAAAGGTGGAAAGAGGAAAAACTTGAGCTGACCTGGGAAGGGCCTTACCTGGTACTTATAACCACTGAAACCACAGTCCGGACAGCAGGAAAAGGATGGACCCCATCACACCCAAGTCAAGAAAGCACCACCACCTCAGGAGTCATGGGCCATTATCCCAGGGGAATACTCCCTCAAACTAAAGCTAAAAAAGTTTAACACTCTTCCATCTATTCTATTACTCTTTCTTCTTTGCCCATTCTATTGCTGACCACCTTGTTATTAATGTAACTAAATCAAACTCACCCCAAGTTATTATGTTTGATGCTTGTTTAGTCATAACCTATAGAGATCTCCAAAGTCAAAGGCAACCCTCAGCGTCAGAAAAGTGTCTCTGCCCCTTTAAAATAACTGACTCCCTTTACCAAGACTCTTGCTCCTTAAAAAATGTAGGAAAACAGATCTGTCATAGCTGGAATGATGTTCTATGGACAACCGAATATCAAAGCTGGGCCTCATCGACAGGTGGTTGTATATCCTTAAAACCATACATTCACTTTACTAAAGAAAGCATTCCCCTCATTTGCCAGTATAACTAATATAGTCCAGTGCAAGTTCCTATTCTCATTCCCACCTCTACCGACCCTAGCCCTACTATGAGTCACTTCTATGGCATAGGAGCCAACTTTGCTGGCACAGAACTCATAGGGTCTTTTGAAATGTGTTTTTATTAATCCCTCATCCTCATTGCCCCCTTCTCTCTCTTCTCCTTCTGTGCTTTCTTCTAATCAGACTGCCATCCCTTCTATACCCAATGATAATACTAAAGCAAATATTGTAGAAGTAAATTATCTAAGGCAAGCTTTAACAATTGAAACAGGATATCAAAATATAAATGCCTGGTTGGAATGGATCAAATATTCTGTCCACATATTAAACAAAAGCAATTGTTATTCTTGTGCACATGGCCTCCAGAGGCCCAGATTATCCCCTTTCCACTTGGATGGTCTCCCAGTAGACCAGGCATGGACTGCATGAAAGCTGTCTTCCAGGATTCTATGGCTTGGGACAATAAATCATGCCAAGCTCTCTCTCTGGACCCAAAGTCCAACACCTTGTGGGTCAGTCCCTGAGGGCCATCCAGCTTCTGTATCCCAATACCAATTTCACCTCATGTCTCTCACGACAAGGGGAGAAGTTGGTGTTCTTTGAAAGCTTAATGAGATGTAATGAGCTTAAGCCCTTCCAAGAGCTTACCCATAAGTCTACCCTTAGATGTCCTCAGACAGATGTATGGCGGTATTGTGGTAGACCCTTACTGGACACTCTGTGAGGTAACTGGAGCGACACTTGCATTCTTGTCCAATTGACTATCCCTTTCACCCTGATATTTCATCAGCCAGAAAAAGAAAAATCACAACACTGTAAAATAAGAGAAGCCCTTATGGATCTTTTGACTCTGAAGTTTATTTGGATGCAATTGGAGTCCCGTGGGGAGTACTTGATAAATTCAAAGCCTGAGACCAAATAGCTGCAGGATTTGAATCATTATTTCCATAGGTAACTATTAATAAACATATAGATTGGATAAATTACATCTATTATAACCAACAGTGATTTATTAATTACACTAGAGATGCTGTCAAAGTAACAGCTGAGCAATTAGGGCCTACTAGCCAAATGGCTTGGGAAAACACAATAGCCCTAGAAATGATGTTAGCTGAAAAAGATGGAGTTTGCATTATGATTAAAACTCAGTGTTGTACCTTCATCCCAAACAACACTGCCCCTGATGAAAACATAACAAAGGCTTCACAAGGACTTACCACTTTATCCAATGAACTAGCCAGAAATTCTGGAGTTGATAACCCTTTTCAGGATGACTAGAAAAATGGTTTGGTAATGGAAAGGAATAGTGGCTTCAATTCTCACTTCTCTTGAAGTCATAATAGGCATACTCATTCTTGTTGGGTGTTGTATCATACCATATACCCGTGGGCTAGTACAAAGGCTTATAGAAACCACACTTACTAAAACTTCCCTTAGTTCTCCTCCACCTTATTCAGATAAGCTTTTCTTTTAGAGGATCAAGTTGAACAACAAAGCAAAGATATGTTTAAAAGGGTTGAAGAGGAAGAACTGTAAAAATGAAAAGGGAGGAATTCTAAGATACAACAAAATTCCTCTTCAAAGGTTCATCTTGTTAACTTCCTTGTTCTTTGTTCTCGAACCTAACATTCTTGTTCTCCATGCCTCCTTGCCCCTAGTTACTGTAAACAACCTTCCCATCCGTGCTAATCAATAACTCACATCTGTAGCTTGGTTATTCACTGTGTACCCATTCCTCCGGCCAAAGCCACAGATCCCACCACTGTAACTCACGTTCTCTTTCCCACTTCCTTATTTGGGAAAAATATTCACAAATAGCCAATAGGGTCAGCTTAGATCGTGTGGTTTAACCCCAGGGCATGGGGGAGTAACACAGATGTAGGAACTACACCTCAGAGATAAAAAACTCTTCCCTCCTTTGTTCAGTGTGCTCTTGTTATCATGATTGACACAGGAAGCATCCTTCTGCAGAAGTAAATTGCCTTTCTGAAAAAGAACTTTTGCCTAAGTGCTGGTTTGACTTTGTGGCATTCAGCATTTACTTCCAACTGAGCTTCCTTTATAAGTTATCTGATGTTTTTTCTCACTGTTCTTATAACTCATTCCTTCACATTGACTTTAGATAACCTGATGCTATATACTTTGGTGATGTCATTTGTGCAATGAATCTCCTAGGAGTTCTTTGAGTTTCTTGTATTTGCATGTCTGAATCTCTAGCAAGACCAAATAATTTTTTCTTAGTTTCTGAAATAGGTTTTGCAGACATTTTGCTTTATCTTCTCCTTCAGGAAGACCTATGATCTTAGGTTTGGACATTTTACATAATCTCACATTTTTTGTAGACTTTGTTCACTTCTTTGAATTCTTTTCTCTTTATTTTAGTCTGATCAGGTTAATTTGAAAGCCTTGCCTTCAAGCTTTGAAATTATTTATTCTCCTTGGTTTAGTGTACTGTTAAAACTTTCCAATATATTTTGTAATCCCCAAAATGTATCTTTCATTTCCAGAAGTTCTGATTTTTCATATTGCTGGTTACTTCTTATTTGAGTAGACTATTTCTTATTTTTTAACTTTATTTTTGATATGAGTGGGTTTTTTTAAAAATATTTTTTCCTTTGAAGATGTTACTTTAATGTACAGTTTATGTTGACCTAACTTTGGCTCTGAGTGCTTTCCGTGGTAAATACTCTGTATTAATTCCTTGGTTATAGATAATCATTGTGTGATGGCTTTCTTTGATGCTGGTTGTATTAACAATGTCCTTGGTGTGTGAGCAGGCTCACTGTCTCTTGTGGGGCTGGAAAGGCAGAGGTGTCATGAAGCTTATCTTATCCCCCAGTGGTGTACAATTTTAAAACTTTTTTCTAGTTTAGTTTTCACCAGGTTGACAAGTTTGGAAGACCAAACTTGTCAACCTGGTGAAAACTAAACTAGAAACCAGTCTGTGGTTTAATAGGAGGTGGCCAAGGCTAAAATTTTGTTGTGGCTGAAGCAGGTGGATATATTCAATACCTCAGTGGTGGGAAAAGTTCACAGCCTTGACAGTGGTGGTTGGGAGACCACTCAGTGAAATGCATTCAAGTCTTTCTGAGGGGAAGGGAGAAAGCCACTTCCTCTCCCCTTTCAGAATAGCAAGAAAGCTGTCTGCCTCCACAATATGTGCTTGTATCATTGTTCTGGCTATTCGTATCAGATAGGTGCCTCTTTCCATATTCAGGAATGCTGATGTTCTTTGTAGAGCAAGATTGTTATTCTACCCCTCATGCCAGCCTGAATCTGGAGGGCACTCATGTTGTGGGGATGCAGTCACCTCAAAGTGCTCCAGAAAGGCTATCTACAGGCAACCCATGCCAAGTTCCCATGGGAGAGACCACAGCTGTGTACACAGTGGTGGGTGAGGAGGAGATAAAGTCTCCTCCAAATTTCTTCATGAGTACTTGGGTTGCCCAACTACTGGGTGGAACTGCAGTCCTTTCTCAATGAGACCAGCACTGCACTTGTGCCTCTGCTGAAAGAAACTTCCCACAAGCAGAAAGTTCTGGGACTCAAGGCCTGCACTCTGTTTTTTTTGTGTGCCACAAGGTGCTCCCTTAATGTGATGCACTCCCACTTCTCCTGAGATTGGTGGTCCCTGAGGGCCAGACTACTGTGAATGCTGCTGTTCTTCTGAGTCTAGGTGCCTGGTAGAACTTCCATATTCCAGGTGGTGCTGGTGAATATCTACAAAGTATCCAATGTTATTACGGTATAAGGGTTGAATGTCCTTGAGTAGAACAATATCCCTCAGTGAGAGTGCATTCAGTATGGTGTATGCTATTACAGCTTAGATCCAGAGGGAAAGGGAAAAAACATTGGGTAAGCAAAAGTAAAGTGCCCTCAGGAAGTCCCCAAATTGTAGCCCACTCTAATTCTTCTGCTCACAAAAGCAAAGAAGCTGTCATTGAGCTCATATATCAGCGGTCTACTGCAAGAGCTACAGAGGTCAAGAACACTCTCGTCTATCCTTTCCATGGATTACTAAGTTTTTCAGGGTTTGATCTCTGTGAGTTTGTTACTTTCCTTTGTGTATGTATTTGTTGTAGATTCTTCCAGTGAACTTGCCTATAGAGTCTAGCACTCTCCCTTTACCAATTCATTTGGACTCTGATTATTCACTTGTAATTCGGTTCTGCCTTCTGAGGAGAATTGGTCACTAGCATCTCTTGCTAGTCAACTGGGGAAGCTCTCTGTTGCCTCAGGCTGTGGAGAGGTTTGCAGGATGTGCAGTGGCTGGGTTCTGCTCTTAGCTCCAGAGAGAGGCAATGTTGGGTGGAGCTGGATCAAGTTTTCTTGTCCTCTGGTTTCCTCGCAGTCAGTGCAAGCACTAACTCTGATGGGGGTGGCAGAGTGATGATATTAACTCTATGATTTTCTTCTTTCTGTCTGTGACCGCCACCCGAGTGAGCTGGATGACTTCTGCAAGGTCAGGAATGGCTTCCCTCTTTCCCCACTGGGATCTGGGAGTGCATACAAAGAATTTTCGGATGCAGCTCCTTCTCATGTGTTCCCGACTGCTCACCAAATATGCTCCAGTGCTGGGTAGGGTTGAGGAGCTCCCCTGTGACCTGGATTGCCCACCTCCGGGGCCGAAGTGAGCATAGCAGAGACAGTCTCTCCTCATTTCATGCTCTGGACAGAAAGTTTTCTGCCTGACTCACTGCTGCCCA